CTCTCTCTCTCTCTCTCTCTCTCTATATATATATATATATATATATATATATATATATTATTTAGGCACCCACCATCTTCTTATCGCGAGAGAATCCTATGGCCATCCATTCGGGATCCGTCATCCTCTGCCGGAGCACGAACCTAATCATGTCCGACTCGGCATCGTACCGCCAGGTGGCTCTGTACTTGCAGTCGTCGCGCACGCAGCCCGCGGGCGCCGACCACATGCCGTTACAGTTCGTCGTAAAAGGTTCTTCCGCTTGTTCTGTTTAAACGAAAACACAACGACGGACCCTCTGTGAGATCGTACCCCTAGAGGCCCGTAAATTACGCGCTGGTGCATGAGACGCTTGAACCCGTATAGAAACATATAGAGACACTATATGTACATTAACTAGTGTCGCTAGAATATTACCTAGAGCACTTACTAGTCTATTATCTAGTGTCGCTAGAATATTACCCAGAGTTCTTACTAGTATATTAACTAGTCTCACTAGAATATTACATAGAGCTCTTACTATTATATTAACTAGAGCTCTAACGAGTGTATTAACAAGAAGATAAGTAGAAAATACTCGTGGCTAGTTATTATATTAACTAGAGCCTAACTACTATATAAACTAGTCAAACTAGTGCATTAACTAGAGCCGAACTAGTATATTAACTAGAGGGTAAATAATATATTAACTAGAGGCTAACTAGTGTGTTAACTATAGAGCTTAATTAGTATAATAACTAGAGTCTAACGAGTATTTTAACTAGAGTCTAACTAGTGCATTAACTAGATCCTTACTACTATATTAACTATAGCCCAACTAGTATATATTAACGAGAGCCTACTCCGAATTACAATATTATTTCTATGCTTCTAACCAGTCGATGAGGACGGTACATCAAACCAGATTAAACGCGTAAACGTGGTAAAATAATGCGGAATGAGATTCAAAACACCGCGCTTCCTTTCGTAGCTTCCGTTCTACGAAGGAAATCGTCATCATCATCATCGTCGTCATCATCGTCGTCGTCGTCGTTACCTTCATCGGGGATGAGTTCTATGTTGTCGCCGATCTCGTGCTCGCTGTCAAGCTGCTGGGCGAGGAAGTAGGGGTCGAATCGCTGATTCGTGGAGCTATCGTCGCCCTGGTCGTACAGCTCCAGCTCTGAAACACGGCAAGCGATGCAACGTGAGAGAGAGAGACAGTGATGCCAGCAGCTTATACACAGCGTATATATATATATATATATATGTGTGTGTGTGTGTGTGTGTAGTGTTGTTGCGGTGCGTGTGCGTGTGCGTGTGGCGTGTGCCGTGTGCTGTTGCTGTGTGCGTGTGCGTGGCGTGCGTGTGCGTGTGCGGTGCGTGTGCGTGTGCGTGTGCGTGTGCGTGTGCGCGTGCGCGTGCGCGTGCGCGTGCGCGTGTGCGCGCGTGTGTGTGTGTGCGTTGTGCGTGTGCGTGTGCGTGTGCGTGGCGTGTGCGTGTTGCGTGTCGCGCGCGTGTGCGTGCTGCGTGTGTTGCGCGTGCTGCGCGTGTGCGTGTGCGTGTGCGGTTGTGCGTGTGCGTGTGCGTTTGTGATCGCTCGTGCATGTGCGTGCGTGTGCTTGTGTGTGTGCGTGTGCGTGTTCGTGTGCGTGTGCGTGTGCGTGTGCGTGTGCGTGTGCGTGTGTGCGTGTGCTGTGGCGTGTGCGCTGGCGTGTGGCCGTGTGTAATGTGCGTGTGCGTGTGCGTGTGGTTGCGTGCTGCGTGTTTGCGTGCGTGGCGTGTGCGTGTGCGTGTGCGTGTGCGTGTGCGGCGTGTGCGTGTGCGTGTGGCGTGCGCGGTGCGTGTGCGTGTGTGGCAGTGTGTGTGTGTGGTGCGTGTGCGTGTGCGTGTGTGTAAGAATAATTAATAACAATATCTAATGATACATTGAATATTCCGGTATGAATAAATAAAATAAAATAAATAAATGAGTTATATTATTATATATAAAAATCACTACTAAACGACAATGACGACAACAACACAACAAACAACAACACAACAACAACAACAAAACAACAACAACACAACAACAACAGCGTCCCACCTTACCGCAGTATGGTTTCCGTAGCCGCTCCAGCTGACCGCTCATGAGACAGAACCTGATCGAGCGAGCCAACCCATGAGGCGATAGCTTCGCTGCAGCAGCGGTACTGCACGCGGCTGCCGTACGCTAGGCTGTTGTCGTCGAGCGCCACGACGGCGCGTTAGGAATGCGCGTCAGCGACGACACACCACCTGCTGGCGGGACGGAGGCGCCACCTGGCGGAGAGATTGAGGGTGAGTGACGTCACGTCCGGATTCTCGCGGATTTGCGTCGGGAATAATTGAAACGTAAAACTTGATAATACTTAAATAAAATTAAAATTTAAAATTAAATGAATTAAATAAATTGGGTGTTGGAGTTGGCAAAACCGATTGTGTTGCACGAAGGCGCACGACACAGCACGGACACATACACGCACGACGCACGCACGCGACACGCACGCACGTAGCGCTTACCGGACGGAGACATACCACGCACACACGCACGCACACACGCACGCCCGCCACGCACAGCACAACACACCCACACGTACGCACGCACGCACAGCACGCACTGCACACACAGACACACGCACGCACGCACGACGCACACACAGACCCACGCACCACGCATCGCAGCACTGCACGCACGCACGCACGCACGCACGCCCGCAGACCTATAGGAGCTTACCTGCAACCCTGCGACGACCGGCCAGCAACGCCTGCGTCGGATCAGCCGTTCCTGCGACAAAGTAAAGCATAGGAGTCAGCACAGAGCGTGGAAACGCGGTGCCCGTCTAACTCTCAAATAGATCAGTAGCAAAATCCGTCCGAGTGTTTAATTAACATATTGAACTAGAGTACTTGACAGGTACGTCTAACCAATTAGCATCGCTATAGGGACATTCCAAAACGCCGCTTAGTACTGAAGTGCCGCAAAGTAAAAAATTTCTCTCCTTAAAAACAGGTTTGCCACGACATCCACTAGAGGGCGTGGATAGCTTCTTGGTTCCCAGACGGACTTCTCTCATTTGTAAATCCTTGTAAACATTTTTAAATTATTAATTAAATAATTATTAACTAAATTTTAATTAGGACCTTTTCCCGTTACTCACCTGCACATACGGGCGACTCTGCGTCCCATTGGCCGCCCGGCAGACACGTGATCGTCGGTGCGCCAATCAGCCGCAGGCCGCGTTCGCAGGCGAAGTTGATTCGTCCGCCGATAGCGAGGTCAAGGTTCAACATGCGCGTGTGAGGGTTGCGAGCCGGATGTCCGCATTGTTCGATCTCTGTATGAACGAAACACGAACTCATTGTTAGTCGGTGACACGCATATGCACGCACGTACGCGCGCATGCACGCACGCACGCACGCACGCAGGCTCACGCTCACGCACGCCCACACGCGTACACACGCACAGCCGCACACGCACGCGCACGCACACAAACACACACATGGGTACACATACGCGCGCGCATGCACGCACACACAAGTTCTCGCGCACGCGCGTGGGAAAGCGCAACTATCCGAGTGACGTAAACGTTTCCATAGCAACACACGCGCACCTTGCATGCAGAGGAACTCCGCTTTTACGTCGCACGGTTCGTCGGCCCACTTCCACTGGCGCCCCCTGGTGGAGTCGAGCACGGTGCAGTAGTGGTCGCGATTCCGCTGCGGTTCGCCCTGTGCCCAGTACGTGAAACGTACGTCGGAACCTGAAACGTTAAACCATGCTATGTATGTATGTGGGAGAGTGAGTGTGAGAGAGAGAAATAGAGGGAGTGAGAAAGAGAAAAAGAGAGAGAGAGACAGAGAGAGAGAGAAAGAGAGAGAGAGAGAGAGAGAAAGAGGAGGAGAGAGAGAGAGAGAGAAAGAGAGAAAGAAAGAGAGAGAAAGAGAGAGAGAACGAGACAGAGAAAGAGTGAGAGAGAGAAGCAGAGATACAGAGAGAAAGAGACAGAGATATACAGAGGAGAGGAGAGAGAGAGAGAGAGAGAGAGAGGAGCGCGCGTGCGCGAAAAGACAGACAAAGAGAGACAAGCGGCAGCAGACCGTATTTATCATACCGTCGACCCAGGTCGTGAAGTCCGGCCCGTCGCGTCGCAAGCCGACGTAGTAACGGTCGGCAGCCTGGCCGACGCGCTGCAGTGCCGTCAGCTGCGCGGCGACGTACTCCTGCGTGCGCAGGTCGCGGACGACTGCCAGGTCACCTCCCTTCTCGCGACAGTGCTGCCGCGCCTCGTCGTACGTGCATCCGTCGCGCGTCGCCCGGAAGAACCGGAAGCAGCGGTCGCGAAAAACGCTGCTCATCGGTAGCGTGTAGTTGGAGAAGGGGCAGTGCTGCTCCTGCGCCACTGCAACACGGAGAGGGAAGAATGAGAGAGGAGGGGAGAGGGGGAGGGGTTAATATAATAGTTAAAGAATAATGAATTCATGTTTATCTTGTGTTAAATCCAAGAAATAAATAATGGGTATAGAGTGTGAGTGTTTCCGTTGCGTATGCTGGTCCGCGGTTTTTGTGTTAAATCAAATTTTGTGGTTACGTAATTTATATTGTTTGTTTGTAGGGGACGAGTTCATGTAAACACGTCTAAGACGAAGGCTTATTTATTTATTTATATATTTATTTATTTATTTATTTATGCATATATACATATATACATATATACATATATACATATATACATATATACATATATACATATATACATATATACATATATACATATATACATATATACATTATATACATATATACATATATAACTATATACATATATATACATAGATATACATAGATAGATAGATGGGTAAGTGAATACATATAATCACGATAGTATAATATTTGGTTAACGTTCTCACCTTTAGTTCCGAAACGAAAACTTCACATAAGCTGAGAATGTTCTGTCGCGGTGCCGACGGCCCCGGTATAATCTGGATGCTCACGTAGCCGCCCCTGATAGCCGGTGTCACACCGAAGTCGATCACCGCACCGCGACCTGGCGGAGTAAAAACGAATACTTTCAGCACTTCCACTCAACGCGCCTGATGCAACGTGCGGCGACGTGATTAAAATAAAATCTACGGACGCCTACCTTCCTGCAGTCTAAAGATCTGCAGTCAAAGAGTTGAGGTACATTTAAAAAAATTCAAATTTAAAAAGATTATTTGTCCATGATTGTATTATAACAATTTACAACGCACAAATGTAAGCATAACACGTTATAGCACATAATTATCAGATGGAGCAGAAGAGTTGCGAAGGACCACAAATCATCGAAGTCTGCCCCTCTTAATAATTCCAAGTAAGTCAATTTTCTTCGCTGAAAATCTACGCGAAACTATTTTACCTGCAGTCTGAAAGTTGCAGCCGCGATGAGGTAGATCAGTAAATCTTTCTCGCAGAGCGATTCGAATACAAATATTCTTTATTTATAGCAGAGCTAACGAAAAATTACAGTCAGTATAGCATCGTCACGATCAGTGGGTTTTATCTGGAATATATCTGGAATAGTTATGGGATATGCGAATACGTTTTGGAGAGGAAAGGGTCAAGGATGAGTGCTTCTTACGACTGGTGCGCGGATGTGTCCCACAGAGGTGTTCTGTTTCACATTCGTGCTGTTTCCGACTCGGATCTCCAGATCTCGTAGTGCGGCCACCTGCCGGTGAAGTAATGGTGTGTGAAAAAATAATGGCTTTTTATAACGGTTTAAATGAAATGTTAGGCCACGATGGATTACCTGTCAGGCAATATTAAACTAATGAGATGTTATACATGTACAGTGCATGCTGCTAAACGCATCGCCTATTCTCTTCTTCGCTCTATCACTATTCCATATACACTATGCTATCTCTCTCTCTTTCTCTCTCTCTCTCTCTATCTCTCTCTCTCTCTCTCTCTTTCTTTCTTTTTCACTCTCTCTCGCTCTCGCCGTTGCTGTCTCTCTCTCTCTCTCTCTCTCTCTCTCTCTCTCTCTCTTTCTCTCTCTGTTTCTTTGTCTCTCTTTTTCTGCCCCTCTCTCTGTTTCTCTCTCTCTCTCTCTCTCTATCTCTCTCTTTATCTCTCTTTCTACCCCTATCCCATACCTATTCTATTTTTCTCCCTCTCCCTCTCTCTTTATCTCTCTTTCTACCCCTATCCCATACCCTATTCTCTCTCTCTCCCTCCATCTTTATCTCTCTCTCCGCGAAGCACCAGAGAAGCTGCGAGGAGGTACTAGCCACACACTCGTGTAGAACTAGAATATGACCTCGTTATTATTAATGCGTTAAGACCTTGATTGCACGTGTCGGAATTACCTGTGCTAGTAACTCGTGCTAGAACTAAACGAGGAAAAAACTAGAAATTTATAAATTTAATGACATTTCACCGAGTTCACGACATTTTGCACTCTCAGTAATTGGCTTAAGATGATTAAAATGAGGGTGGCGGTCGGGGGGAGGGGGAGGCGAGTGAGGGGACATGTCTTCAGACACGGTAATTACTGAGATACGGCCCAAGTGCTGATTTAATGACTTAGCACGGTGAGAGAAAGAAAGACGTCGGCCTCTCCTTAACTCTTCACCCCTTCACTTCTCACCGCACACTCCTGCTCATGTATACGCCTCTTCTCTTGCTACTTCATCCCTTCACTCCCCACTACCCCCTCTTCTACACATACACTTGCTATCTAACCCCTTCACCCCTCACACACGCCTCCACCCACCCTCTCATGCACTCTCTTCTCCATGCAACACCCACCCTCCCACACACTCCCTCACACACACACACTACCCCCCTCTCACGCACTCACTCACACATACCACACACACCCCCTCACTCACTCCCTCACACACACACCACCCCCCTCTCACGCACTCCCTCTTACCCCTACACACCCTCTCACACACTCTTTTACACAGTCCCCCACCCACTCTCACACGCCAATACCCACCCTCCCACGCACTCCCTCACACCCACCCCACCCACCCCCACAAACACGCACCGTCCCGCTCAGCAACGCCCGCCGCGCCACCTACCGGCCTCGTCCCTGCGGTTTGCGACGCTGACGACGACGACGTCGTGGTGGTCAAGCAGGTCTACCATCCACCAGGGCTGCGCCTCGGGCAGGGTCTGTGTGCACGACGCCACGCCGTCGGCAAACACGGCGATGTCGTCGTTTCCCCAGCTAGCGATCGCCCTGCCATCTGTCATCGAACTCGACTGGCTCGCCGGAAGATTCGACGCGATGCTTAGCGCTGAAAGAGAACGATAGATGGCGCTGACGTCACACATCGATCATAGTGTTTTTATACATTGAATACGTTACAATATTTGCTAGATTCCATCTATCTAATTCGGTTTGATGCTATGCTGCTTTGCTTAGTGCTGCAAGCGAACGGCAGATGGCGCTAACGTTACACATTTAAACAACGTCTATACGCGGTTTTTAATTACAATTGCACGTCTGTTCGCTTTCATTTAGGACAACATGTGGAACTTTGTTAATAAGAGCGAACGACTGCACCAGCGCATTTGAACCTGTCCTCGGTGGAAGAAAGAAAGAAAGAGCGAGAGGGTGAGAGAAAGAACGAGATATACATATATACATATATACATATATACATATATACATATATACATATATACATATATATACATATATATACATAGATAGATAGATGGGTAAGTGAATACATATAATCACGATAGTATAATATTTGGTTAACGTTCTCACCTTTAGTTCCGAAAACGAAAACTTCACATAAGCTGAGAATGTTCTGTCGCGGTGCCGACGGCCCCGGTATAATCTGGATGCTCACGTAGCGCCCCCTGATAGCCGTGTCACACCGGAAGTCGATCACCGCACCGCGACCTGGCGGAGTAAAAACGAAATACTTTCACCACTTCCACTCAACGCCTGATGCAACGTGCGGCGACGTGATTAAAATAAAATCTACGGACGCCTACCTTCCTGCAGTCTAAAGATCTGCAGTCAAAGAGTTGAGGTACATTTAAAAAAATTCAAATTTAAAAAGAATTATTTGTCCATGATTAGTATTATAACAATTTACAACGGCACAAATGTAAGACATAACACGTTATAGCACATAATTATCAGATGGAGCAGAAGAGTTGCGAAGGACCCACAAATCATCGAAGTCTGCCCCTCTTAATAATTCCAAGTAAGTCAATTTTCTTCGCTGAAAATCTACGCGAAACTATTTACCTGCAGTCTGAAAAGTTGCAGCCGCGATGAGGGTAGATCAGTAAATCTTTCTCGCAGAGCGATTCGAATATACACAAATATTCTTTATTTATAGCAGAGCTAACGAAAAATTACAGTCAGTATAGCATTCGATTCACGATCAGTGGGTTTTATCTGGAATATATCTGGAATATTATGGGATATGCGAATACGTTTTGGAGAGGAAAGGGGTCAAGGATGAGATGCTTCTTACCGACTGGTGCGCGATGTGTCCCACAGAGGATGTTCTGTTTCACATTCGTGCTGTTTCCGACTCGGATCTCCAGATCTCGTAGTGCGGCACCTGCCGGTGAAGTAATGGTGTGTGAAAAATAATGGCTTTTTAATGACGGTTTAAATGAAATGTAGGCCAGCGATGGATTACCTGTCAGGCAATATTAAACTAATGAGACGTTATACATGTACAGTGCATGCTGGCTAAACGCATCGCCTATTCTCTTCTTCGCTCTACCACTATTCCATATACACTATGCTATCTCTCTCTCTCTCTCTCTCTCTCTCTCTCTCTCTCTCTCTCTCTCTCTCTCTCTCTCTCTCTCTTTCTTTTTCACTCTCTCTC